GAAAAGCAGCGCCTCCACCCATTGCATTGACACATGGAGAAACCTAACCTCTTGCTGTTTTGGTGCCGGCGCAGATGAACCCGTCACCGTATTCACCAGCCGGACTCCAGATCTGGGTTGCCTTCAATAGTGTCTACGAGATGAGGTGGGGATAGAGGTGTGCTGGAGTGGACGAAGTGAGCAGTGGCTGCTGCGGGAGAAAGTAGTAATACTTTCGCTGGGGGTTGCGAGCTACGCCCTTGTAATCGAGGCGTTGAGCTGTCTCTCGGTCGCCCACAGTGAGTAGTCAAGTCACTTTTACTGCCGCCCACGTCTACTTTACCCCCGCTTTTTTTCATTATGACCCAGTTTTATAATTTTCTTTAAATCCCTTCGTTGCGGAACCGCGTTACATCATCGACACGGTCGTATTTGGGTTCGTTCTTATCTGGTCTGGACTTTTTATCTTTTGTACATCAAATGTTATTCATATTAGTGGCTGGACGTAGATATGATCCCATCTGGAAATATCACCTCTCACGGGGAGCAGTTGCGCACTTTTTTTAGCTACACACCCGCTTATTAGCGTGGCCCATCTGAGGCCACATAATAAATTCGCTAGCCGGGGCACATGAGATGCAGCCGTGTACTTGGCTCCGCACGGTCAGACGCTTGCTATCTGAACTGCCTCCGGTCGGAACAGTACAATCACTGCTCGACGCGGTCCATGCCAAAACGAGAGAATAATGTGCAGTGCCGGGCTGCCTCACCTGCCTGTCTGGGTGGACACGGCACGCATGCGGACCACCACCACCCCCCATTAATTATGCCTGCCCGTTTTTGTCTTCCTTGATGCTCCGGCTGCCTAATCCACAACTCACTAATCACTCCCCTAAAAAGACCTCATATATATCCCCACGTCATGTACGAACACTCAGTCGGTTGCATAATCCATTACACTCAGGTATTAAATTCATTTTTTCTTTTAATTTACATTCTCGACATTCCGCAATTTCATTCAATCCAAAAAACTTGTTTGGAAAAAAATAGAAAATACTGATTTTTTGACACACGGAGAAATAGCACGCTCCCGAAGGTGACCGCACATTTTCATTATTGAAACACAAACCATTGGAAATTGGCACAGTACAGTGGACGATTGATAAAATCTACTAACTGAAACCCAGTACTTAGCTCGTACCGCTGCTAGATCTACTCTATCGTGCGGCGTCTCTTAATGAACCTGCTGCTGGTTCCATCCTCATCGAAAGAATCTTCCGCCTCATCCGCGCTCAGGATTTCAGGTACGGCGTCTATGACCGACCCTCCATGACTGTTCGTCCAGTCGCCAGCTTCAAATGGATCGTAATCACCGAAACCTTCCTCCATTGATTCTTCTTTTTCCTGCTCCCCTTCTATTTGGGTCAGTGAAAGAGACATGCGCATACCCCCTTGGACGACATCGCCCTGCCAATAGAGATTGATGGCATCCGAATTTACATTTTATCTTCACTGCACTCTTTTTTGTTGTTCAGAGAAGCCCAACTCACCTCCCCATTGCCGTCGCCGTCTTCGCCCGCCAGAGCCGTGGTGCTCCACGCGCTAGCTGCTAAAATATCATGGGAAGGAGACGACGGCTGTAGTACCTGAAAACACATTCAGAAACCAAGCGTTCGAGATTTTATCCTTACAACGGATCGGAGACGAGCCAGAAACGCAGTGCTGGGTTGGAACACTTACCACACCAGGCAACGTCAGTGAGGCGTCGCCATCTTCACCTCTCGTCGTCCCACTAGCTCCTGATTCATCAAGAGAGAGGCCCATCGGATGGAGGGAAGTGTTCTTTTTTCAAATCAAATTGAGCTAGTAGTGCAAGGAGTAGGCGATGGACAGCAGCTCGCCCGTTGCCTCTGTTTTTATAACACAACCCGCTGACGCAACAGGGCGCCTATAACTGCAGTTACCTCGTCGATTTTTGAATTTTGAATCCTGGAGAAGGGCCGGCAGACCAACACGCGTCCGACGGATGTATGTTGTCCAAGTGGGCACGCAACACGTTTTTACATGCCATGAAGATACCGAAAACACAAAGGCCCCAAGTTCTGAACCACGATACTTCCCCTGTTCAGCATCACAGCCAGTTAAAACGGCCTTCTGAAGTTGCGCCCCACTCGACACATATTCAGTAAATCATCACAATCCATTCAAAGCGCACTACAAATGGTACATCAACTGTAATCTCAGCTTCATCTCAGCTCTCAAATAGATATGCCAGCCTACTCAAATTATATCTGATTCAAACGAATATGTTTCCAGATATCAAATATTGCACCAGAAAACAAAGTATGGGAAAAGACCTAAATCTCTGTCGCCCTTACAAGAGCGACATAGTTATTCGTGAAACGATAATTTCTCACACGTGTTCAAAGACACAAGTGACCAATGCTGAAAACATGGACAGTTAATCTCAGACCAAATTTACATTTTCTTCCCACAGCATCACCCCTTTTTTTCTCGTTGCCCCATGAAAGCAATATCAGGGAAAATGAGATACATGACTCACGGAAAAAAGGAAATCAGAGTCATCGAATGGAAAAAACACTACTCAGCTCTCGGCAAACCCAAGAGGCCTCTTGCATGTGTTCCGCCGGTGCCCCTCTATCCCGCAGTTCTTGCATTTGCTTGGCTTCCGCGGCTTCTTCGGAGCATCCCCTCGATCTGGACATGTCGTCCTCTTGTGCCCCTCGCGCCTGCAAATGCTGCAGAACCTGGTTCTCTTACTCAGCCCTTCATATGGTGCCTTCTCCCTGCTGCTTGTCGGCCTGCCAGCACCTCTACGCTTTTCCGGAGAAGCAAGACAATGAAGTTCATTCATGCCCACTGAATTCATAACACTGTTGCCTTGCTCAGCCTCCTCATCTGCATTAGCATTTTGGCCGTTGCACGCTGCACTAGCATTTCCATTTTCATTTAGACGATCCTCGAATGCCAATCCATCACGCACGGCCGCCAGAGGTGCTCCACCCCGCAGTAGGGAGTCCAGTCCAGAATTCATGTAGTCATAGCATGCAGCACTTGCATCCCCCATCCGAACAGCTTCCATGGCTTTAAAAATAATGTTGAATGCCTGTACGTGAAAGACAATTTATGCGATTTGTCTTTCTGGTACTGAGCCAAGTGCTCCAGTAGTACATCTCTAGCATCTCTTGTCCACCTCTTCAAGATATGATATTTAGGGATTTCATCAAGATGTAGAATCTCCATCACCTACAATTTTTCCAGAAGCCACAAGCGCTCATGAGACATTGTCTTCTTGTGTTGGTTGCAACAATTAAAATGTCTACATCAATGAAGTTGCGCAGCTTACCCGCAGAGCATGGCAGCAAAGCATGCCTGTGTGCTCAAATTGACCACATTCGCACGCGAATATTGTTCTGTCTTCGTTAACTGTTACTTCATACTCCACCCTGCTCCACTTCTCTCGTTTGGCTGCATTATTGTGAGGTATTATATATTTCCTCATACTTTCTTTTTCAGTAACATTGTATGCAGTTGCTTCTATTAGTAATCGTCCAAATTCCTCAAACATATTCCTTGTATATATTTTGCTTGCATGCCGCTCTATTGCAAGGTTTGTCCGCCACACTGCGCCGCCCTGTCACAATGGAAGCATTCGTATGAGTTAGATTAGTTATTTCTCATAAGTCATGGAAAACTTAATTCGATCATCCAAGATGGTAGAAACTTATTTACAATCATTGTTCTCTTCTCCTCGTAGCTTTCATCACGCTCACGGTCGAACTGAAGCCTCATGTACTGACGGACGAAAACGTGCATCGGGCTGGCGGGGGGCATGTATGACTTCAGCATGTGGTTTGCGCTCTCACTCCTCTGTGTACTTGTCATCTTTGCGCAGAACACTCCTCTGAAATATGGTTTTGCCCATTTATGTCTTGTCTCATATATTTGTGTCATGTAGTTATGCCCCCTCAGATTGTACTTATCAAGCAGGCCGGCCCATGCTGTTTCAAATTCCTCTTCAGTTATCATGTGATTAACAACTTTGTGAAATTCAGACTGGAAATCACTCTTCTTCGTGTAAAGCGGCCCAAGTGTTTCTTTTGCCTTCTTCAGAACATGCCACTTACACCATCGGTGCACAGTGTTTGGATAAATTTTCTTGATTGCAGCCTCCATAGCTCTGCATTGGTCTGCTCATTGAGAAAAAATATTCTGAATCAGAACTTAAGCATTGAATAAACGGTACACAATTCGCCCGTATCATATTATCATTTCATAGCGCATTTTTTCATTCATTTGGAAAATGAGTTGGGATACAAAGAACATATCTAAATCCAAGGGAGATTTAGTGATCAACCATTCACCTGTCAATATTGTATTTGGCGCAGGTCCGCCCATCATGCGAATGAATTCTGTAAACACCCATTCGAAGCTTTCCTCTTGCTCGTCACGCATCAAAACTCCTGCCAGGATGATACTCTGATAGTGATTGTTAACTCCAACGAAAAGACCGAATGGCATGTCATACAGATTAGTTCTGTACGTGGTGTCGAAGGTCACCACGTCGCCAAAGAACCTGTACTGCATCCTGCTGCTCCCATTTGCCCACATGAGATTCTTCACCTTGCTGTCCTTCTCAGCCAGAACCACATAGGAGAAGTCAGGGTCCTTTGACCGGATGTCGGCGAACACCTGCAGTGTCTTCCGTACATCATCTTCGGCTTGCTCGCGACTAATCTTACCACAAATGTTTCTGAGTGTCCTTTTAGTGAACGGAACCTTTTCAACTGAACCAAAGAAGCTACCAATTATGCTGTAAACCTTCCCTAGGTTGACGTTGTTCTCCCGCAACTGCCTTATTAAGTCTTTGGTGTAGACGTCTATGTGCTTATGCGATGGCCAGTGCACTTTTTCTCCCATTGTAAGCGACATAGAATGATTGTGGCTCGCTCGGTGCTCCGTTATGTACCAACTATTGTCTGACGAACGAAGCAGCCTGATTAGAGCCGGGCACTCGCACCTGCATGACCTGCTATTCTCGGCACCTGGTTTACCCTGCATGTGATACATTGAATTAATTCCAATACCATCCAAGCTATTTCGTATACGCATCCAAACTCAACCTGTAACCTACTTCTTATTTTAGCAGTAAGTTTAAAGTGAACTCACCGAACAACCACATACTATTTCCTGCATGGTTTTCGTCCTCTCAGCATTCAGCCTGCTCTTTCCATATCTTATTCCGAATCCAATTTCCCAGGAATACAAGTTGTAGAAATCGTACGCCTCACCAAGTGAATCAAAACTAAGGCCTAGCTCAGGATGCACCACACTCTTGTCCGGTTGCTCGGCATATTTGCGCATTGATAGCTCCAGTGCGCTCATCCTAGATGGACAAGGCACACGGTCGGGTGGCGCACTCCCGAGACGGAGCCTGAAACATTTTTCAAATTGTTAATATGTGGAAATGTTTGAAAGACATGAAAACGGCATCAATTGACAGGACCCCCCCCACTACATTCGTGAACATTGAACTTTCATTGTCTTTCTCCTAACCATTTCTTTCCTGATTTCCAAAGGCAAATCACAGTTTAGCAACCATCATGATTAAAAACACCAAAAATTTACATACAAGTTCCTTGCTGGTTTACTATGATATCTTCACATTTATCTATTTCAGAAATCTTTTGGTCCAACAAGCAATTCTTCCCAGCCCACAGCACCCACACTCAGGCGGTTCATCCTCTGAATATCAATCAGAATATATATCATGTGTATACTTGCGATGGTAATAACAATAGATTCAGAAGCCTCACCTTTTAGTCCATCCGGGGGCCTGTGGATTTACCCTGCCGGTCGATTGGGCAGACCTTGTCGGAGATTCCTCACGTCTATGTTGGCAGCCCACCTGCCCCTCGCTGAGCAAACCATCTCCGAACATCTCAGCTGCCGCAGAATCAACATCCGCTTGGTGAACATCCGGGTTAGCAGTACCCTTATCCAGTAGGTACATCAGCGGGATTGGATCTGGGTGTTCAATATTGTCGGCATACTCCTCCCGCACCGGGAACCTGCATACACGACGACCTTTCAGGCTCAAATGATTATCTCATCCTTCTCTAAGAATGCATATCTAGGCGAGTCTGCTTGGAGAAGAACAGAACAGATCTGCACGGAAACGAACCTGTCGACCGCATCAAGTAGGAATTCCATTCCCTCGCTCTCCCCCGCATCCAAGCTGGCGGTCAAGCACCGGCGACGGCGGGGGCCGCGCCAGCCCGGTACACCAGCCTCGGTGAACTCTATCCTTTCTTGTACTTCCACGGCGGCGAGGGGTGTCTAGAATGAACCACCTGAAGGGAACAATGTTTCCAACCTTTTTTTACTAACATGCGCACGGGGGGTGCCCCGCCGGCCGACAACCGGCTCAGACAGCGTACTCCATCACGGACCCATTATCTGATCCAGGCCCAGACAAAAAAACTAACGTACTGGTCCACGGCCTACTACAGCACGAACGTTCCTAGTCCACGGCCCATTCCGAGAAGCCGCGACGTCCGTCCCACCCAACTGGGCCACCCCCACGTGTTGAGCACTGTATGCTACCGTATTGACATGGTATCTTTATTTTCAAACGATCCCACCCGACATTCCAGCTGGCTTTTTCTAGATCCCCAGGCTGCAGCGAACCACCCAGATAATGGGTGCAGCTGAGCTCGGGCTCCAAATCGACGCACCCTCTTAACACAGGATACATCAAAACATGGATATATAATAGATAATACCAGTAACATATCTGGACATTTTGGAACTCATATAACTAGATTTCAGAAAAGAGGTACATAAGAATAAGAAACAAAGCCATACCTTGTGAATGTAGTGCGGACAATATAACTTTTAGATAAGATGCAGATCTATGATAGCTGAAGAAGCTCTTCCTTCTGTTGAATGAAACCAAACAGTTCTTATTTCTTGAGATACTTCATGTGAAAGTATAGAGCAAAGGTAGGAGAAGAATAGTAGTTGGAGAAAGGTTGTGTTGGGCGTGAAATTGCATTGGAGCTCCCGGCGAATACATCCACTGTAATCCCTCCCATCCACTAGCATTGGGATTCCCACTCACTATATTACATGCTTCGTATTCACACCTTTTCACTTCTAGTAATCCATTTTCACTGCTTGGTATATCATATAAATAGTGCATGCATTTTTGGTCTCGGTCCAGACAAATGGATGTCCTCCTGAAGCCGGTCTCACCTGCCAACTTTCAACCACCCAAATGTAGTTAATGCACGCGCTACACTCTTCCTCCCAACGGCACAATGCTCACTACAATGGTCATCTTCCTCCTATGAACAGCTGCATATCATACCATCACGATCCTTTCTTATCTTCAAGCTTGCTCTCTCACCTTGTTCTTCGCTGGTAGATGGTTCTCATTGCCATGTCAAGCTCAAGCACTCCCATGTCAAACTCCAGTGTGCCCCTTGTTTCTCTAGAGGAGCAGCCACCACTTTTCCTCATGGTTTAACCTTTCTGCAACAATGGAATAGTTCGGTTCAGTGGTGGGTCTCCTGCACTACAAACAATCCAGGCAAACACTTTTACAAGTGCGAGTGTTGGAACCGCCAGTCCCTTCGCCTCCCTCCTCCTAGCTCTCTCTGTCACCGTGTTCTCGAACCGAGGAAGAAGAGGGACACGGGGACATGGTGGGTTTTGCCGGCGCACGAACGCCTCCCTGAGCATGAACTCAATACACACACCACACATCTGTTACAATGGCCCTCGGGTGGCTTTATAGCCCCGAGCCGGCGCACCGGGCACGCATCGAACGCCTCCACTCGGTCCTGATCGCCTGCGCTCCGCTCGCTCCGCTCGTGCCCGTGTCGCGCTCCGATGCACGCGCCCCACGGCGAGCTCCAACGGCCACGCCCTCGATAACCCATGCGACTCGCCCAACAGCTACTCCTAAACCCATGCACACAACGCACACCCGCACGGACACGCCCCGTGCTGCACCTGCACGCATGCACGCACACACTCACGCGGTCCCGACGCGCCCGACCCAGCCAGCTCGCGCCCATACACGCGCTGGTCGCGTTCGGTGCGTCCCGACGGCTTATTTGTCCTAACATTCACGCCCTAAGCCGTGGCTCAGAGCAGCCTGGCATCCTCGACATCGTCGTCCACCAGCAGAGCTCGCTCTGGCACCAGCGCCTTCTTCATCTGCAGGCACTCACACTTGAAGTGCCCACGGTCGCCGCATTTGTAGCAGCGGCCCCGCCGGTTCCCGCCGAAGCCCGAAGCCTCGCTGTGTGCGTCATCGTCGTCCCGAGCATCACGGCGCTGCCGATCCCGTGCCCACCATTGCGCCGCCGTGTACATGAGCTGACCGTCTGCCCGCTCTCCGCCCGCCTGCCCGCGCCGACGCAGTCGCTCGTCGAACGCCTTCAGCCGCCCCAGCGCGTCCTCGAACAGGAGCGTGGACAGGTCGCAGAACTGCTCCATCCCGGCGACCGTCACGTACAGGCGATCGGGGACGCAATCCAACAGCTTCTTCACCATCGCCGCGTCCTCCAACGCCGATCCCAGCCCGGCATATCGCGCCGCCATGCTACTGATTTTGTCGGCGAAGTCATCCAGCGTCTCGCCGCTCCCCATCCGCAACAGCTCGAAGTCGCTCCGCAGCGTAGCCAGCCGCCCCGCCCTGACCCGATCGGCCCCAACGAAGCGCGCCTTGAGGCTGGCCCAAACCTCCGCCGCCCGTCTTCTTCGAGGCCACCTGCAGCAGCAAGTCCTCTGCGGGCGCCCCGAGCAGGTAAGCTCTCGTCGGCTTGTCCTTCTTGGCGATCACCGCCGCCGCGGCGTCCTCCGGCACCACCACCGCCTCCCACAGCCCGCCGCATCGAGGTTCGCCTCGACCTTGATGGCCCATGTTGTGTAGTTGTCGCCGGTGAGCTGCGGCACCACCTGCGGCAGCGATCCACCCGCACCGCCACCGTAGGGGACGATCGACATCGACGGCGCGCCCTGATCTTCACGTGGCTCTGATGCTAAATGTTGGAACCGCCAGTCCCTCACCTCGCTCCTCCTAGCTCTCTCTGTCGCCGTGTTCTCGAACCGAGGAAGAAGAAGATCAGAGGAGGAAGAGGGACACGGTGGGTTTTGCTGGCGCATGAACGCCTCCCTAAGCACGAACTCAATACGCACACCACACAGCTGTTACAACGGCCCTCGTGTGGCTTTATAGCCCCGTGCCGGCGCACCGGCACTACAAGAAATATGTCAACTTGTGACCTTCTCTCAGTGACCCTGAAAGAATTGGTCATAAATCTACGACCATTTGAGACCAATTGGTCAAAATCTGTTCGAGGGGCTTCAAACCGTAACCATAACGACAATTTTGGTCAGAAAGGTCTTAATTTACTTGCACGAAATGGTCGTAAAGCAAATAACACTGTTGCATTATTTCTAACTGATCACGACCAATATAGATGGTCATAGCCTTATAAATTAAGGTGCATTGCTATGACTAGGTGCCACATCATCAATTTTACCTATGTGTCATGTCATAGCCTTATAAATTAAGGTGCATTGCTATGACTAGGTGACACATCATCAGTTTTGCCTATGTGTCAGGTCCCACCACTTACCTGACAAGCAGGACCCACCAACTGGCATGAGGCATTACCACTATCAATGGAGAAAAGTAGAAAATTAATATGGGCAACGGGGGATTCGAACCCACGCCACAACACACAAAGCCGCAGAGCGGCACCACCACGCCACCATCTCGGCAATTATATGCTACTGCAATCATTTCTTTTATAAAGAAGATCGTTTCCTGGGCTTGGGCTTAAATCGTGATAGGCCTCCCCATCTCTCCTTCTTTTTTACATTAACACAACGGTCCGCCGAGTGGGCTCACGGCCCATAGCCTATTAGCACGCGTTTTTAGGTCTGAAATATATGCTTATTATTTAAAAAAACTGTTTAATTTCTTCTTCTTTCTAATAATTTGGGATTTCAAAAAAGTTTCAAACATAAAAAATGAATTTGTTAGAAAAATGTACGCGGACTAAAAGAAGTTCATGATTTTGAAGAAATGTTCGCTTATTAAATAATGCTTGTGAATTTGACCCAAAATTTTTGAATTCAAAAAATGTTCATGATTTTTTTCATAAAAATTTCAAAAAAATGATCATAATTTCAAAAAAAAAAATCATCAATCCAAAATCATCATTTCCAAGTTTGTAATTTTTTTAGTAACTATTTGACAAATGTGACGCAACGCTAAGGTTTTTAATTTTCATGATTTTTTAAACTTCTCATGTATACGAAAATTTTTATACAAAAATATATAATGTATACTAAATGGTTCATCATGTATTTTAAAGATGTTAATCGAAGCATTGGAAAAAATATGTTAAACATTTTTTGATTAACTGTTGACCAAGTTTTCAAAAAATGTTAAACTTGCACTCCAAAATGTTAAATATGTATTGAAAATGGTGTTGTTCCACTTTGCAACAAATATTTTCTAGGTTTTTCAAAAAAAATAAAAATATTAAACTTTGTTTGAAATTGAGGAACTAGTGAATTTTTTTGTCAATTTCACGAGAGGTGTATGGAAACCTTTTTACATGAAACCATTTGGTGATTTGTACATGAAATGTGGTCTAATGTTTTGTAACAAATATTTGGAATGTGAAGGAAGTATCTTTTTTATATATCCAAATGACATGAAATTTATACCTAAAATTGTGAAGGAAGTACCATTTTGCCATGTCTAAATGGTATCAATTTTCTACAGTGCTTTTCTATGCCCAAATAACCATCCTCCATCAAATTTCTGCTCAATCCGTTCATTATTTTGAGCCCGGCTTCAACATTCATACTTTTGTCCAGTGTGGTACTTTGTAAAGCAAGTACCATCTAGGATCCTCCTTTTGAGCTAAATATTTGTGAAGACATTCTCCTTAGTAGATGATCATCCTCGGTCAAAACTCACGCCCATTGGCCATGTGCATTTCCCGTACCACTAATCAAACACTTGACTGCTAATTCATCTTTGAGCATAGGTTGGTCTCCTCGTGAGATTCTTCTGTTGTAATTTTCTTCCTAGCACCTACCTGGGGAGTGCCCAACCCACTTGACATGCCTAGTCCTCCCAGATCGCATGTCAACACCAAGGTCACGCGGTGACCACGCGG